CACCCCCCCTGGGGGGTGATTTCTCCCTTTCTGTCTCTCTGTCTCTCTCTGTCTGTCTGGCGAGTGCACGTGCCCTATAGCAAAAACCTCTCCGAAAAAAGAAAAAAATAATTCAAGTGCCTGCTGTGAGTTTCAAGCCATGACTTGAACCATGTTCAGCTATGTGAGAATCCACACCTTGGCCACCTGCTGGTCCCAAGTCCTGTAACTTTAAAAAAAACAACAACAAAAACAAGAGCCCAAAGCCTTTGAAAGAATGGAGGAAGAATCTTTTTGAGATACTCTGGTGGACAAGCACTGAGTTTGCCTCTAACTTTCTGAGTGGCCTCAGCCTCTCGTGTGTCGCATGTACAAGGTGGGGCAGGCGATCGCCGAGGGCTTTTCTAGGTCTATCGAGAGCCTGCCTGGAGGTATTTTCCCTGTTCTCCACCAGCTCCGAATAGCTACAGTCAGTGCAACTTCTCCAGGAGCATCAGTTTCCCTTCCTGTGACCCGCAGCTCTCCCTCGGCTCCTGTCACTCTCTGCCATCTACCTCCGGGGCAGTCTCGTTTACTCCCCCACAGCTCAGCCACCACCTCTGTGAGGACAGCCCCGACCCTACAGCTCCGGCTGGTGTCCTCCATGAGGACATGCAGCACTGCTCACAGTCACCTTCCTTTCCACTTTTTTTTTTTTTTTGAGAGGTTTGGCTCTAGGGCGCATGTGCTCTCCAGAAAGACAGAGACAGAGAGACAGAAAGCAAGAAATCACCCCCCAGGGGGCATAGCCACACCACAATCCCTTCTCCTCCATCCTCCTCTCGGGATCTTGGGCATGCACACACATGCACCCGGCGTGGGTTTAAGCCATCGGGTCTGGTACTCGAATCGTGGTCGGCTACATGGGAGTCCAGCGACATAGCCATTACACTAACTGCTGGTCCTGCTCACAGTCACCTTTGGAAGGAAGAAAGAAGGCTAAGGAAGTATCATTTCTGCGATCTGTATTATTTATTGTTTAGGTTGGGAAGAAGCAAGAAGCAGGAAGTAGTTTCCTAGAATCCTCCTGCAGGTGGTTAAGGCACTGAATTCCCACATGGTTAATCAGGGTTCAAGTCCCAGACCTGGCAGCTTGAAACTCACGCTAGGCATGTGTGCTTGGGTGCTTAAAGTCCCAGGAGGAGAATGGAGGGAAAGGGACTGCAGCGTGGCCACCCTCCTGGGGGTGATTTCTCACTTCCCCTCTCACTGTCTTTCTCTGTTCCTTTCTGGTGAGCATCTGCACTCTATGGCAAAAATCTGAAAAAAAAACCAAAAACCAAAAAGCCTTCCTGTGCTTGCAATGCTCAGGTCGCCCTAAGTGCCTTCTCTTCTAGTTACTGGGGTCTCACTTCTCTTTTCCTCATGGCCTGGCATGGGAAGTGTGGGACATTGGGGCAGGGGGAGGGGGGAGCAAGTCACTTTCTACTGTGTACCTGCAATTAATCACATAACAATGGCAGGTGACAGAAATGAGTTGTTTTATATAAAAAACCATAGGTCCAGCAGCTGCAGGGGTGCTCCACAGCGCTGAGCAAGAGGAGAGGTCCCAGGCTCACCCTCAGGCTTTCCTGTCCACGTCAGATGTGCACGCAAGTCACTTGATCTTGGCTGGCTGCAGCTGGGGGCAGATGCAGCGTGAAGACCTTACTGCAGGCACCTGTCTCATTCCCTCTCCCTCTCCCTGTGTCTGTCTCTTTTT